GTGGTATTGATAGCTTCAGCCCATAGGAACTTGGGCAAGCCGGCATGTAACCTCATGCTTCTGGCACGTTCATTCAAAGTTCTATTCATGCGCTCCGCTACACCATTCTGCTACGGTGTCATGCGAACTGTTTTCTCCATCTTGATCCCGCTATTTGCGCAAAACTCTTTGAATCTACTGTCTTTGTACTCTCCTCCATTGTCTGACCTCAACTTCTTTATCTTCAAACCAGTTTCATTTTCCACCTTGGCCTTCCATTTTCTGAAGGTATCAAAGACTTCTGATTTCTTCTTTAGAAAATAGACCCACACCTTCCTTGTAGAATCATCAATGAAGGTGACATAGTACAGTGAGCCTGCAAGAGATGAAACTGGAGATGGTCCCCATACGTCGGTATGAATCAATTCTAACCTTTCTGTCTTGGGTGTCTTGCCAATCTTTGCAAAACTAACTTTCTTCTGTTTGCCAAAGATGCAATCCTCGCATAGGCCGACATCTACATTCTTCAGATCCGGTAGCTTCCCTTTTGACAGAAGTGTCTTCATCCCTTTCTCGCTCATATGGCCAAGCCTTTGGTGCCATAGGTTTGATTTTTCATCTGCATCTATTCGATGCGCCTTCCGTCATTCGCAAATTGAACAATCGCCTCATCAAGTGAACTTTGTTTGAGGCAGAGGGCTTCTCGTACATGCTGCAGAGAGCTGCCATAAGACCCGCCGTGGTCTTTTCCTTTGCTATGTTGAAGGCAACGTTGCAAGATAGCGTCAATCGGATAACTCCAAGGGCTTGTCTGTCGAGGAGAGCTCACTCTTCATCCTTCATATCATCTGGCTTCTTTCCCGAGAGAGGTTGATACAGCTTCTTTTGGTGCAGATAATCTTCGATCTGCATTTTCCAAAAGCCGAAGTCCGTACCATCGAACTTCTCAATTTTCACCTTCCCTTCGTCTGCAGCCATCGCTTCCACTCGAATCTGACTTCCTCTAGATCGTTTCTGACAATTTCTGTGAACCACCTTGTATTAAGATACCTCTGCCGACAAATCAGTACCGCCGGCAAAATTCCACTATTCACAAAATCTATTATTCATGTGAATAGTAACCTTGCAGAAATTTGACAGACGTCACAACCAGAGCTCTGATACCAGTTGTTGGGAGATTACCCAGATTTCTCTAGTGCTAAGAGAGTGAAAATAAAATGCGCAAAATTGGGGGACACGCAAGATTTACGTGGTTCGGCACAAACTTGCCTACGTCCACGGGCTGCTGCAGATCTTTTACAATGAAGAGAAATTTTACAACACTCTAAATATTCTCACAACCCAATCCCACTATGAAAATTGCTCATAATTTTCTCTCACAAAGACTTTTCTCTAAGCCTCTCTTTTTTCTCTCTTGCTCTTCTATAAGAGAAGTTGTTTCTGGGATGAGTTTTTCTTAAGAGTTTGGGGGCCTATTTATAGTGTTTGGAAAAACACTATGCACTAATAATTTATTAGTGGTGGGGCCCGCGATGGGGCCCGCCTACATTTTTTTCTTTGCTTTGGGGGCCGCGGTTCACTCATTTCGGTGGCTTTTACATTTTTGTCAAGATTGGCTGCCCCCTTGCTTTCGGTGGCAGCAACAATTGACTAACAATAGCTTCACAAAAGAGTTATGGAATACTAAAGTAGTCCAAGATCAGCCACTAGAACACATAAATATTGTATATTTCCTGAGTACATGAAAGTTTGATTCGTATATGTAACTATGTACTAAGTAGTTGTCCATATATGAAAGAACTTAATTTTCCAAATTGATTCAAAATTTTGGTGTAAAAAAAAAGGTCAAAAACTATCTGCTTGATGTTGGGTTATTTAAAGTTAAAATAGAACTGAGGGGCTTGTAACCAAAAAACCCTGTAACTACATAAGTTCAGAAAATAAACACGTCCCATTACAAATTCAACCCAACTGATTTCAATGCACCAAAGTAGGAATTCATATCCAAGTAAAATTTTAAAGGTTACTTCTAAACAGACATTGTTATCAAAATCATAAGTTGAGATTGTTTATCCTAGTCTTATAGAAAGCCTAAGATTCATAAAAAGTGAAAGCTTTCATTTTCTCTAATAAACCAAGAGAGGTGTTTACATCAATAAGTTACCCGGCGAATCGATTGTTGCTGACGTCGAGCTCGAATTAATTGTATTAAGCGTGCAAGTCGCAAGCCCCATTTTCGGCTAGGTACATAGAAGTAAATAAGCTCCGACGCTATTAACTGTATTGCAAGTGCACCACCGGAAAGAGCAGATTTATAATGAGACTAAGTGGATCAAATCTAACATCCCATGTAATTGATTAAATTGTTTAAGTAATCTATTGTCCTTTTCCATTTCTCAAAGGTTCTAAGCTAGATAGCTTCAGAAGAGCACTTTGGACAAAGTCATGTTCAGAACATATGTTGAGCATATACGTCCATCTATATGCCTCTCTAGAACACACTAAACCGAACCAGAATGAGTCTAATTAGACAGAACTGAAATTGATCACTATTTAGTTACATTGTATTTATTAATCAATAAACAGATTGAATGTATAGAATTAAATATACAAATTAAACAAGCACAATGAATCTAGCCAGACCTCGTACATTATAAGGAATCAAAAACTAGTATTTTGTTATATAGTTTTGGATTTCAGGCCTTATAAGTTTTCAGATTCTATTTTAACTAGTCATGAACTTAGGAAATCAAATAGATCTAGTACACATTTTGTACCTTAATAGAAGAGGAAGGGGAGAAGAGATCAGGTTGGGGAAGAGTTGGTCTTGGTGGCGGCTACTTGGGAAAGGGATAGGGTTAGGGTTTTGTTGTTTTTTTTAATTATTAAACGCAACCTAGATGAAAGTTTCTGTCAAAGTTGGCAATCTAGACGGAATTTCCGTCTAGGTTGTTTTTTTATTTTTTAAAAATAAAACCATTCTGTCTGATTTGGCATTCTAGATGGAAATTCCGTCTAGAATGCTCCAAACTAGACGGAACAACCTAGACGAAAATAATTCCGTCTAGGTTGCCTCAGACGGAATTCATTTCCGTCTAGTTTGGTCGTTTTTCTACTAGTGAATTTAGCTCTCTTTCATCTATCGGAAGTTCACATTCCAGTAAAAAAGATAAGTTTCCGTTTGAGTTCCATCACGAATATACTTACTTTTGGCATTTCAGAAAAAGAACGAAGATCTCTGTTTTCATGAATTATAGGCAGTAACAATATACTTAATTTTATAAAGAATTCTGGATAAAACAAAGAAAGCGGAAGCAAACATGATGTCGCAAATAGAGAAGCCTCTCGGTATAACTTCAGCCTCATCCAACCACTGTAAGTAGGAGTGGCGAGGGTGCTTTTGCATCAAGCAAGCAACCACAAAGACAATTGAAACTAAGCATTAGTGACCGGGTGCAGAGACTGTGTTATATCCGTAAAATTGTAAGTTGTAGTCAGAGAAGTAATAAGGATTCTATTTTAACGCATCTCGAGCCCAATATCCAATATTTTCAACACAGTTACATATATTGCTACATAGCATCACCTGTCAATAAATACGAAAGCAAGATATATAAGCAAGGAAACGGCACATACTACATGCATACGCACGTTTTCTCCGAATTGCTAACTCATTGTTAAACAATTTGTCTTCCCTCTCTCAACTACCCTCTGTTAAATTCAACTATTTGGTTCCACCAAGAGAAGATATCAGTTCAGTCTTCCATCTATCAGAAGTTCAAAAGAGTACCCATCTTGTGTTCAGGAGTTTCAGAACAGCAAAATAAGTTGTCTTTTCTGAAATTATATACTGCACCAAAGTTTTCTTACCAATCATGCACAAAAGTTTTGGACAAAAGGCATATACAATCACATTGTCTCCCAAAAAGACTAGCGTCTCCACTTACCAAAGTTTTCAAAGTTATGACAACAACAGCTACGTAGGTGGCTATGAAGCTTTGCCAGGGTGCAAGAAATATGAGAGAATGCATAAGACACAATTCACAGTAATCTTAGTAAGTAATAACTCCAAAAACCAAAGGTAAAGGATGCACTCCACAGCCCTTTCAGGACCTCCTCACCAGCAGTATGATGGATATACATCTCTGAAATCTATGAGCTGCATTCAGTTTTTGAAGCGAAGGATTCCCATCCAAATTAACATCCACGAACTGAAGCATCAACAAAGTTCAGACATGCAACCTCCACCCCTACTTAGCACGTGGACTATCTTCCCCCTAATGTCCGAAAATATAGACTTCACTAGAATCACTGCTCACCTAATCATGACATTTAGCTCTGCTTGGAGCATGGATTATATAAGAGAATGGAGAGAAATGGTGAAGAAATTGGCTGGACCCGGCATGTCCTACAATATTACCAAGAACTAGAGCAAAATTGTTCACTAGCATATCCTAATCTTCTGCATTACTAACTCATGTGTCTTCCCACTCTCATAAAGAGCTTCAACAATGGCAAAAGGACTACTATTCCTTCTAAAACACAACACAGGAGCAGCACTCAACTTGCTAAACAAAATATGCAATCATGATAGACAAATGCACATGACGACGGCCCTTCAAGGATCCTTGTATAAGCAGCATGATCTATATTTATCCATCAACTCTATGAGCTTTATTCATTTGCTAAACAAAGGGGTCCATCGAGAGAGACATTATAACACAATTGATGGCCCTTCGGATTAAAATCCATGCCCAGCTCATGAAGTGAAGCAATACCACAACTCCTGCGTTTAGCTCCTCTTGCATGACCCGGCATGTCTTAGAGCACTACCAAGAATTAGAGATAAGAAAATGGTTCACCAGTCCTTGACTAGTGTCTTATACTATCGAAAACAACTTCCCAACCAAATCCAAACTATCGAAAACAACTTCCCAACCAAATCCAAACATCTTACTTCAAATCTCATCTTCTCATGTACGAAGCACATGGCTCTGTTTCCTCTTCTAACTTCCATACAAACTCTTACAGCTTGTCATGGGGCCGCTCTCTATTCCTATAAGTATACGACCACACTGCAACTCTTCTCATCAAACATGCAGCTTCACAATCTAAAATCAAACTATTTCTTCCCAAACTTTGATATCTACATTCAACAATGGTAAACTCCAAGAAGATCGTTGAGATGGCGAGAAAATGGAGAAAGGCAGCTGCCTTGGGCCAAAGGGTCTCCTCAACCCAGGCTGATGCTAAATTAGATTCCAATGCTTGCAGTACACCGGTTGCAGAAAAAGGCCACTTTATTGTATACACCTCAGATGCAAAGAGGTTCATGGTTCCTTTGAGATTTTCGGAGAGCATTATTTTTGTAGAGCTCTTAAAGATGTCTGAAGATGAGCATGGGCTACCAAGTGATGGTCCTATCATATTGCCTTGTGATGCAGTGTTCATGGAGTATATTCTATCTTTTCTCAGAAGACGAGGGTCTAAAGCTATGGACAGGGTGTTGTTAGACACTGTATTCAAGCACCGTCATTCTCCTTGCTCTATGCGAACTGTGGGGTTGAATCAACAAGTAGTTTGTAGCTTCTGAATGTTCAGATTCTTTGTAGTCAGTGATACTTGTGTAATTAAATATTAGATAATGTTGATTGACAAATTATTTACTGTGGTGTTGAATCAAACAATAGCTATGAAAATTCCAATGTAATTCTCAATTGCTTAATGCTACAACACTTAATTCCACCTAACTATTTGGAGTTCAGAATTACAGCGCATGTTCTTTGCTCAGAAGACGAGGGAGAAAGTACCCTAGATGGGGGTAAATAGGGAAATTTGCTAATGTAATCCGATATTGATGCTAAATTAAAACTTATTAACTAATATCCTAGCAAACATGATATGAACAAGTTATGTGCAAAGATAAATAATTAAAATATAAATATGAACACAAGATATAAGAAAGATAGTGTGCAAATGACAATCACAGACAAAACGATATGATCATGGAGTTCGGTCACCCTCGACCTACGTCTTCGCTCTTCACCCTCGAGAAGAATCTCCACTATCTCAAAACAACTACACAATCGGTTTTCCAAGTTCACCGAAATCTTTTACAACTCATACAATTGTCAATACACAATACACTCCTCTAATTATTGGCCTAGCCCGTGTAACATTCCTCAAGTGCTTGGATTTACCACCTCTCACTAGGCTTTACTACCAACGCCACTCCTCTCGGAATTGACCCCATCTCTCCCAACCACTTCTCTAAGTCTACTGGTGTATTATAACGTGTTCTCAACAATGATAAACTTAAATAAATGTTTGTTCTCTAACAAGGATGAGAATGAAATCTAAGCTCACTCAATGATACAACCCCATAACCCAACTGTATACAATATGTGAAATACTAAAACTCAATAGTTGTTTGTGTAAGCAATGAATAAAATGAAATTTAACTCAAATCAATCTAACATAAATATATAAGAAATAAAATGATAATTAGCTAGAATATGAGTTAAGAAAACTTCTCCAAGAACAAGAGATGTAAGTGTTGAGGACGAAAGCCTAAAATTTGAAATTGAAACCCTTCTCTTGTGAAAACCTCTTCACATAAACAAATTTTTGATATTTTAAAACTTGAAATAAACAACCCAAAAACACGTGTAAAACTTTTGATAAAAACCAAAGCAAGAGGGGTATTTATACCCTCAAAAACCAAGCAGCCAAAAACTAGCCGTTATGTCAAAAATAGCCGATTGGTCAACTAACGATGTATGTCGGTCAACTGATAATGTGACCGTTGGCTGAACTGACAGATTCTAAAAATTTGCATAGCTGACTTTATAAAATCAATTAAAAATAACAAATTAACTATAAGAAATACAGTATTTAACGACCAAGATTAGTAAAGGGACCAGTTCACCGTCGTTAATGTGCATATAATAACGACGGGTTTTTAAAACCTTCGTCGAGTGATTACAAATATTATATGATGATGTGAGATGAGATAACGATTTTCAAATCCCTTCATTACTTTAATCCTAATACCGTCGTTATAGGGTCTCCTTAAAAACGAAGGGGTCCATTACCTTCATTAATCATAACTCCTGATCATAACAGGATTAATTAGTAATCAAAATTAATATGAATAACCCGAAACCCAAATCACCCTCTAACCGCACCTATATATATTTGAATAAGCCCTAGATTAATTAAAACTTAACTGTTCATCATCTCTTTTTAATAATTCTCCTTCAACGAAACCCGTCCCTGCCCTAGCCGCCCTCTGCCCTCCAGCAACGTCGTCGCCGTTCGCCCACTG